TTGGGCAACACGTATGTTTTCAAGAAGCAAGTTTTTACAATTTGTGAGTGATTCTAAATATATTTATTTACATTTTGGTATGTTTATATTTCATTAAGTATAGTTAGATTACATTTTAGGATATTCTATTATGTATATACATCATCCCATATGTAACTCCGATAAATACTACTTATTCTCGATATATCCCCGATATCTGCCGTCCGATATGGATTTTGAGCGTCTGATAAATCCCGATAAACGATATTTAAAACCTTGATAACGAAAAAAACTTGGATCAATTGGGGAGTAGTCAAGCACATAGTAAACTGTCTTTAACCCGTACTTTACATATTATTAAATGATCACACATATACTAATACCAAGTGTGCATCCTGTTAGATCCTAGAGGGGGGTGATTAGGGTCTTATGCTAATCTAATCCGATTTTATGCTAATTAAAACTAATTAATAAATTATTCTTACAAGATAGATATACAATATGTTACAAGCAAGAATAAGCAATATAAACAAAGAGCAATATCCTAACAATGAGATATATAGTGAAATATATGCAAGGATATATAAACTAACACAAGGGTAAAATAAACAATCTACAAATGTGATAGGGCAATTGACAATGACGACAAGAATACAATGAACACTAAGCACAAATGAAACGCCAAAGCAAACTCAAATACAAGCAAATGATCACGGAGTTCGGACCTTCCTTCCTACGTCTTCGCTCCCTACTCTCGGGGAGAAATTCACTATCACAATCGGGTTTTCTACGCTCACCCGAATAATGTTTACACCTCACAATGTCGGTTTTCAACGCTCACAATATCGGTTTTCAATGCTCACCGATCAACGTTCACTCCTCACACTCGGTTTTCTAGCTCGTCTAAAACTTTACAACACTAACAATGTAACAACAAATGATTTGTTCTCTAATATAAGGTGAGAACTCAATTAAGCACAACTCAATGTTACAATCTCCCACAACCCTAATATACTATGTATGTAAATACAATAAGCTCAAGTGGGTGTGTGTAAACAATGAGTGAAATCAAATCAACAAAACTCAATTAAAATCTAGCTTATGAGAATTTATGAATAAAACAATAAATAAAAACTCAATTAAAATCTAGCTTATGAGAATTTATGAATAAAACAATAAATAGCTAGAAATAGAGTTTAGAAAAGCTTCTCTATAGATCAAGAGGGAGATGTAGAAGAGTTGGATGCTCAAACAATGTAGATGATCTTCCTCAAGCTCTTGTGAAATTATTTTCACTAAACAAACCCTTAAAACAAACTTAAAACTCTTTTAAAACTTCTTTAAAACATTCTCTTAGTTATGCATGAAAGATGAGAGCAAGGGGGTATATATAGCCTCCCAAAATCTCAGCCAAAGCCCCAAAGGAAAAGATCAAAAAGCTCAAGAATTAGAAATATGATTCTGTACCAAAACTAACCGTTGGGCGATCGGCGATCGACCGTGAAAAACTCGCGGTCGACCACGTGCAACAAAAAGGACAGGGTTTGGCTCTGGACAACAGACGGTCGACCGCGAAACTCTTTGGACCGCATCCGGTCGACCGCCACGGTCGACCGCGAGGGGGGGGGGAGCCATCAAGAAACATACTGAGTCTCTGGACTCAGGGACGATCGACCGTGGCGGTCGACCGCAAACAGATATATGCAATTTGACAGGTTTAAAACAGTTTTCTGATTTTAAAACCCTGTTTAAAAATATTAAATAAATTCTAAAAATGTAAAACTTTGGGAAATGATTGTAGACATGATAATAAACATGCTACAAAAACTGGTTTTTAAAAAGGACCTCCCAAATAAAAAATATCATTATTTTACAAAATAGACCAAAACATTAATTAAAATATAAACATATGAGTTTTGATATTTTAGCTTAATCATGTTTTGAAACATTACAAAATAATTATATAGACTTAATGAAAGATGTATATGATTGTTATTAAGTCCATAAACCAAGAAAATAATATTTTCATAAAATTGCATATTTTGCAAACATTTCAAAAGAAAATATGATTTTATTGAACTAAATAAAATTGATATCAATGAAATCATATATATGCATGTAAGTATGAAACAAGAAATGTATTTTCAATTGTATTCAATTGTTTCATATTAAAACTTAAAAACTCAAAACCATGTATATATATACAAAGAAACCAATAAAATGTGTGTGCATATTATATTGAGCTTAAAGTACCAACACACATAATATAACACCTAAAACTAAATTTACCCAAGCTTGTGATCTTGATCTTCATTGTAGCTCAACTTGGTAAACTTGCGGATGAAGCTTGAACTTGGATCTTGAACTTGAATTGCATAGGCTTCAACCACTATTCCGCCAACCTCCATTTGATATGATCACGAATGCTCGATTCCATCCATCCTCCAACTTATTGTTTGTCTACAAGACTACAATGAATACAAAACACAAACATTAGACAAGCAATATTAGATGTAAATTGTTTGTTAAATCATCATCAAAACAAGAAGGCCAACACATCCATAGTAGCCTAGTTTTAAACTAAGATACCACTTTTATTGTTGTTCTATAGCACCTTAATGGCTCTGTGATTTATCTTAATTCATGCAAATGCTTTAAGTTCTACCCAGTAGATTCCATATGAGATGACCAAATCTCCACCTCACGTATGTAGATCCTCAAAATGTGGTACTGCCAACATCCAACACCCAATGTATTTTGCATTCATTAAGGCTTTACATATCCAACCTCTGACAAATGTGTATCCATAGTAGCCCGAGCTTCGAATTATGGTACACTTTCACTTCCTAGTTTGTAGCATGTTAGCAACCGTATACTTTGTTAAATTGTGAAAAGCCCTTGTGGGGAATTGTTGGAAACCAATAAGATTTTAAGCTTGGGTCAAAGTTAAATTAGCCTAAAGTTTTTGGGTCCAAAGAAAATTGTCGGGTCCCAAGGAAATTACTTGGTTCCATGTAGTTTTTAGGCCTTCAAGTCAATTATTTGAACTCAAAGTAAATTGTTTGGGCTCATGCCTATAAATAAGCTTGGATCCTATGGGTATGAAGAACAATCCCCCTCACCTAGAAGTTCCTAATATAGGAAAGTCCTCTTTTGTGTTGCCAAACAAATAGATCCAAATCTAATTGGATACTACGAGGATGTGATAGCTCATTCATAGTCAAAGTCGTTGGTGTACAACAAACAAGTCAACTTATTATTGGAAGTGGTTTGGATGTAGGGATCCCTGCGCCAGAGTAGGCCGAATAATGCTTTAAGATTGGCATTCAAGGACGCACATAAGCTCCAACTCCGTTGATACAAGGTAAAATATTAGGAAAGATCTCAAATTACCTTGTGCAATTCTATCCATTTTACACCAAATATCTCAACAATAACAATGTAATGTATGTGCTACCTCATCACTCTGTAACGCAATATTTATCATCTATGCACATACAATATAATGCAGAAATAATAGTAGCCACAAGCTCGCCTATCCATATCACTAATTGTGACATCCACTTCCGGGGGATATCCTTTGTGATTTACTTGGGTCTGTCATTCTCTTGGTTTGTAGTTTCTATGCTCTTGAATTAAGTGTTCAAAATCAGTGTCCTTTATTCTTCTGTATAATTTGATTCAAAAATTTCTAACTGATCTCGAGATCAATGTTTAAAAAACGAAAGTGCAAGGTAAAGTGTTAGACCCTTTAATGAAACGAAGCGTAAGCGTCAGGCGTCATGAGTTTATATTTTTATATATTTAATAAATATATAGTGGTATAATAGTTTACAAATAGATACATCCATAGTCTGATTAGTAATTAGGAATTAAATATGTAAAGTATAGACGCGAATCATAATAAATATGTATATGTGTGTGTACACACACATATACATATATGAGAACAATGGATATGCTTGGTACCAAGCAAAAACTTGGTGCTTGGTAGTGAGGTGGTTCATTTTCATCCGCTCATTTCAAGTGGAGATCATTTTTGAGTGGAGTTACTAATTAAGGGGAGGTTATAGTAAAAAAAAATCCTTTATATCCTTCTATCTTGCCTAAAGCGTGCACTTGAAAAGAGAAGTGCTTTATGAAATGCGAACTCGCGAAGCGCACACTTCAATTATGCTTTAAGCGATTAGGCGTAAGCTTCAAGGGATAAATAGCTTCTTTCTTGAGCTTCGAACTGTTTATCCATCAAAAAATTTCAAAGCGAGTTACGAAAAATATTTTTCAAATGTTGCTCAAGATATTCACAGGCCTTGTTATTATGCAAAAAATGTTAAAGAAACTCTATTTACTTGGTTAGAGTTGTGTTTTGTTTGATCCATAAGTTAGATGTTGTTAGGAGTGCAAAATCAAATCTGTGTCCGTATCCTAACTTACGGATATGGTTAGTAAATAACTTCTCTGATAGGATATGCTTATGGATGAGAACACGTAGTGAAATATTTGGATCCATAGTCAAAATATCCAAATATATGTTGATCATATAGTTACAATTGTTTTAATCCTTAGATTAATAGATTTGAGGTCAATTTCGATGATCACGAGATATAATCTTAGCTTTTCAGATATAACGAACACATTAATGAACTCTCTTGTATCTTAGGAAGTTATGAACTGTATTTTTTCCAATCTTATTCAGTTATTTGGTTTTTTCATATCCGTTTTGTATCCGTATATCTGCATATGTATCTGCATGTTTATCCGTATTAATCTCCGATTTTAGCAGATATGGATCTGAGTTTTCCTTACGGAGACATCTATATCTGTGATTGCTAACAAATACAGATATGGTGATGTATCAATTCGTGACTGTATCTGATCCGTTTGCAACCCCAGATGATTTCCTTATTTCTGTTTTAACTGAGTACTAGTACTTTCATGGGCGTGTAACCATCTGCTTGATCTAGAGAGAAGATCATACACAAGAAATTGATTATTGCTAAACCTTTTGCATTATTGTTTAGGTGACTTCTCCAGGAGGCAATACGGTACACACAGTGAGAGGAACTTCTGGTGACAAGTTTGAATTCAAGGCTCCAAGAGCTGGAATGTACAAGTTTTGCTTTCATAATCCACAGAAAACACCAGAGACTGTATCTTTCTACATTCACAGTGGGCATGTTCCCAACGAGCATAACCTTGCTAAAGATGGTAAATCCAGTGAACCCTTTGCAGTTTGCACGATGCCTTTACGCAGCTTTGTCTCTTCAGCATGAATTTCTCCTCTTTTTCTTCTTGCACTGTTCGTGAGGTACAGATGTAGAGGAAGTTGGTTTCTTTTTCTCATAATTCCTTTTATGCTAGGGGTGCAAATGGAATGAGTAGGGAGTGAATATGTAATATCCGAACTGGATTGGAATCCAGAAGGTCTGAATAATGAAACTAGCATTTGTTGTGGATCATTATCTCAATTCGGATAAATATCCGGATCTGCTAGAAGCATAGAAGGTCTGAATAACAAGAAAATAAATAAAAACTGGCAACAACTTCTGTATAAACTCATTGAAGTTGATATTTATGATACTAAATGCAAGGACTGCAATTACTAGTCTAAAAACCATGTAAGGTATCAATTTGTATAATACTTTATTATACAGTACATGAATATATAATATAAGCACTATATTGATTATAAGCAGAGCAGATATCACAACTGCACATGTTGCCTTTCTAAGTGAAGTGGATCTAAATATTAAAAAAATCCAGATTCTATATGGACATTGGTATTTGCTATCAATATTCACTTCAGTGAATTCTGATCTGAAGAGGATTCAAATATGTCAAACATCCATTTGCATGCCATGTTTCTTGCCATTCTCTCCTGATAACAATTTCACGACCTTTTCCATATCAGGTTTGGTGTGCTCACCTGTGTGCATAATTTTCTTGTTTTGATATTTACCCAGTATATTTTTCACTCATTGCTCATATTTTTTGGCAGAGCATTTGGATCCCATACATGTGAAACTTGCTGAGCTTAGAGAGGCACTGGAATCTGTTACAGCAGAACAAAAATACTTGAAAGCACGCGAAGTTCGTCATCGGCACAGTAAGAAACATTTTACACTTTTCTTGCTAAAATGAATGCTATAACTGTTCGTCATTTTTAGATCATTGTTTCAAATGTCCCCAATATATAGGCTGATGCATCATTTTATAAAGCTTGCCACAAAACGATATTCTCCATATCCTTTACCCTTTTTTGGAAATTTTGGACGAATATCACCGATATCTCAGCCGATGTGTTGGCAAATATCTCCTTTTATATGGCGCGTCGCAGAACAATATAGTTTTACAATTTTTTTAAAATGTTTTAAGCAAAAAGTCCTTATGAAGTCTTTTAGCAAAATTATAATTGTCTCTTTTCCTGATAAGTAAGTTCCTACTATCGGTTAGTGATCCTAAACATGTATTATTTATATTTTTGTATGCTTAAATTTCATAAGTATGTTTTGATTACATTAGGACATCTATTCCTCTATAATAATGGGAGGACCCAAGAATCACTATTCATGCTACAGTAATTTACTATGGCATTTTCAAAGAAATATAACTGTGCCATAGGCGGGTTACTATAGCATTATTAAACATATTATTGTATCATTTTAAAATATATTATTGTAGCAGAGGTGGGGGTACTGTAACATTTAAAAAATACATGTAAAAAATATTGTTGTAGCATTTTAAAATATACTGTAGCATTTTAAAATATACTGTAGCAATTAAAAAACGAGATTACTATAGCGATAAAAAAAGGAAACGCCATGCTTCTCACGGGGCGCACACTAGTTATATTATATATGCACATCATCTAATGTGACACTCCAATATTTACTACATTTCTCCGATACTTTCCCTATATCCGCATTCCGATATGGATTGTCGTTTGATATTTTCCTGATGTCCGATATTTAAAACCTTGTTTTATATCAATCTCTTTTCTGTGTATAGAATATTATTTTGCGAAACCTTACTCTTTAGACATGGAAACATGTAACCATGATAAGTTTTCAAAAATTCTTTTGTCTGTGTTTGTGTTTATTTTAACTAGCACAGGAATGAAATATTTTAGTCGAATTTGGGACTCTACACCAGAAATTAAAATCCATGAGCAGTTACTGATACATCGTAACTTACCTAAGATCATGATTAGCAAAAAGGAAATATGAGATATATTTGATGCAGGAAATTTTGTGTACTTATGGCCTCAAGATATAGAATGTGCCTATTGACAAAATAATAAAGTGGAGAAACTTTTTCACCCCAGAAAAAGAAACCTATGCTTAGTGGAGGAAAGATTTGGAAGACAATAGCTAGCAAGGAAAAGCCTATTGAACTGATTTAGTACTCTTGGGCCCTTGGGTCATGAAAGATGTCTATTGGCAGCAAATAAGCGTTTGCCAAATAGTAACTAAAAATTTTAAAATAAAAAGGAAACAAACCAGATTATTAACACTGAAGATTAGCTGATGATTGCTATTCTAAGACCCTGCACGACTGGATCATAAACCGTTTCTGGGTTAGTAAAGGTTACTGGCCAGGTCTGATAATATCTTTAGATGTGACGACATGGCATCAACTATCAAAGAGGTCAAAATAGTTTAGTGTTTGTATAAGGAACTCAGCTTCATCTGGTGATTGTTAATTCTACTAATCTTCTATCACTAATAGCTCCCTAATTTTTCAACGAAATCTACTCTAACGTTTTTTTTATCCCTGGCAGATAATAATTTGCTATGATCCGTTTTTATTTCATTCAAATTCATTTATTCTACTTGTTCGACTTGATCAAGTATGCAATCCATTGTCATTTCATCAAAGATGACATTAAGTACTTTTGAGAAGTCATTGCGCTGATCCTGTATAATGGAAGCACTTTAGCCCAACCAATTTGGCGACAACAATTCCTTTGTTGTTTTCACCATAATGACAACTTTCATCTTTCAACCCTTCTTATCGAAAGAAGAACCAGAATCTCACTATGTTTATTTATATGGTTAATGGGCATAAAGTGCACCTTTCTCTTTTTCCACTCTCTAAATAGTGCTGAGAAGTTTTGTCTCTTTAACAAAAGAGCTAAAAGACATTTTTGCATGTTCACATGAGAACAGAAACTAGTATGTCCCTGTTCCTCCGAATTGTTCATATGAGAACGAAAACTAGTATGTTCCTATCCCACCGAACCAAGTACTTACATAATCTCAACTTTAGTTGTATACGCTTGATGGACATAATATTTACTTTTCTCTTATCATATTCTCACTCTATATATACTTGTTACTTAATATGATCATAGCATAACACTTCGTTTCAAGATCTGTTTTGTAAAAAAAGGTTTCAGTATCTCTGCATTAAAACTTTGTATGAAAAGATAGATAAGAGTCTCCTATTTGTCAAAATTTCTTAGATTGATATACTTTACGTATTTATGGAAAGTAATTTGTAATATATTCTTTAATAAATTGTTAAAAAATTTATTCTTATAGAGCATTAAATTTTAATGGTGATATTTGCATAAAATATCTATAAATAGACATATTTTATCTTCAAAATTTTAAATAAGCTGTGGAAAATATAAAAACATTTGTTATTTGAAAAATTAGTTTGTTCCTTTTATTTGAATATGTATATGTTTAAATAGGTTAAGTGATTGATTCATAAAGTTCTACATATATATGCTGTTTGTACATTCTTGGAACTAAATTCTTTTAAACATGGTTCACTTATTATCCAATTTTATAATATTCTAGATTATTTTCCCACCTTTTAAGGTTTTTCCCCCTTCTTCTTTCGTTACTACGGGGTTGGATCCCTTCTTAGTGGGTGCACCACTTGCTAAGTAAAAAAGACCATCAGTGAAGTCTGGGAAAATTTAAGTGCTCCTGCTTCTTTCATTACTATGGGGTTGGGTCCCTTCTTAGTCGGTGCACCTAGGGCTGAACATGGTTCGGTCCAAACCGAAAAAACCGACCGAACCGATCCGAACCGATCCGAAAAAATCGGTTTTATGAGTAGGACGGTTCGGGTCGGTTTGAAAACTTTTCAACCCGAACCAACCCGAACCGACCGAATATAGTGCAATACTACTCATTCTGATCTTAAACCCTACCCGACCCGTCCCCAAAGAGTCAAAGACTCAAACTCTAAACTCATTTTCTGGATCATTATGCTACCCGACCCGTCCCCAAAGAGTCAAAGACTCAAACTCTAAACTCATTTTCTGGATCATTATGGGTTATAAACAATTTTATTATATTAGTGTTTAATGCTTCATAATCTCCTACTTTGTTGATATTTTTTTCTTTAACACAGTTTGTTTGTTTGATAAGAAGTTTGATAACAAACCGAACCGAACCGCACCAAACCGACTTGCAACAATTCGGTTCGGTTTTGAATTATAGGCGGTTCGGTTCGGTTGTTCAAATTTTGGTAAAAACCGAACCGAACCGACCGTTGCACACCCCTAGGTGCACCACTCACTAAGAAAAAAGACTACCAATGAAGTCTGGGAAATTTTAAGTCTTCCACTCGGCACTTTCGTAATACTAGGACACTAAAATGGAACACCTCGCTTTTGGTAAATGAGATACAAGAATTGGCTTGTTGTGCTCCTTGGATTTAACCTCCTAGGTGCTTACAGGGAACTCTTAAGACTTGGTTTGGTAGGAGGGGAGGTAAGGTAGAGGGAGTGACAACTACAAATGCTCTTTGGTAGAGGGTTTTCATAGGGGAAGGGAATGTGAGGGAGGGTAGAGTAAGGCTAGAGAAACACAAAAATAAACTAGAAAACGAAGAGAGAAAAGCCTTCCTATTTGGAGAGACACGAGAGCGAGATGAGAGAAAATGATAAATAAGCTCAAAAGTCATGTGCCTCCCCTCACTCTCCCCTCAAACCAAACCATAATCACAACAGGTATATCCTTCGCTTTACCTCATCATACCTTCCCTCCTTATACTTCTTACCAAACCAAGCCTAAAGCGGAGATAATTACAGCATTAATCAGAAACTTAATTGGACAAGTGAAAGTTCATCATGTCTCCAACTCCCTTATTTATTGCTACCATAAAGCTGAGACTAAAAGCTTTTGCATGTAAGAGTTGCAATTTTTTAGTTTTGTGCAAGCTATTCTCAGGGATGATTTTTCCTCTGCTCCTTATATGCGTTTGAAAGATATAGCTTATGATGTTGGGGTTCAGTTGGTACCCATTTGATTCCAGGAAAAAGCACTGGGCAATAGTGAAGTGGATCTTGAAGTATTCCAGAGTAACATCCTGAAAGTGCCTATGCTTAGTAAAGAGAAACTTGTGTTAGAGGACTGTATAGATTGTGACCTACCTGGTGACATTGACTAGAGAAAATCAACCTCGGGGTATACAATGATTAGTGACTTTTGCTGGGGGCTTTGTTCTAGCAATTGAAGTCTTATGAAATATGTTGCTCTATCAGCTACCAAGGCCGATAANTCAATCCTGGATGTGGGGAGATGTAGTTATGGCTACAAACTCTATGCTGTTATTAACTGGTCAGTTATGTTGACCAGTGTTGCCGACCAAAATGTTCAATGAGTGTTGTCGAGGCCAATGTGTTGGTGCCCCCCACATATCGAGAGGGAGGACTCATAGGTGGGTCTATCCTTTGGGGGACTCACCACCCACTAAGAAAAAAGGACAATTAACTGAGGATGTTGCCTAGAAGTATGTAGTAGGTTATATTACAAATTAGGGTATGCAGTTCACCACTTAGCTATTTTTGATTTAAGCGGGTAGGTTTCTTTGATACACAAGTTTAGTATGTCGTACATTGTAGATTCTTCTTTGGGTTCACTTACTATTTTTCAATGTGTATAATAGGAAACTAGAAACAAGTGTTATCAAAGGTGTGCGCTTAGCGCCCTTCAATGTAGGACGGTGGTGACGCGCCCCGCATGTAATGCAACGATGCCTTTTTGCACTTTGTCAGTGCCCTGCAAGGGCACTTTGCACAGGGCACATGCAAGACAGGCTCGTATATTTGCCTTTAATATTTAAATCAGATCTTTATACTCGATAATCCGTATCCCAGAAAGAAAAATAAATCCATTAGGCCATTATACTAGCTCGATTGAAGAACCTAACTCATTCTCCTTTACATTTGATTTTGCTTCAATATTAGTTTTAAATTAACTTTCGATTGGAAAATTATGAACTTTACTACTGTGTTTGGTGTATAGCATTATACATTAACATCTTATTTTATTATTTGATAGTTGATATTATTTGGGAGGTTTTGTTTATAAATCAAAGTTTTATCTTGATTTAATTTTAAGCCCACTAACTTTCAGATTGATTCATAGACCCAAATACTTCAATTGGTTTAATTTTAAGCCCAAGTTATGTATATCTCACGCTTATACATCTAGATTTTAGTATAAAAAAACTAAATACCCAACCTGTCTCTTCCATCTTCTTCCCCAAATAAAATTCCCTAACCCACCATGTACTGCAGCTCTGACCAATCACCTCCTCAAACCCGAGACGACCGCCTCAAACCCAAGCTTCAACCCAAGTGCGATGGCCTCTCTGGGAGACGCTCCAATCTCAAGGATCAACTAGGGCAGAACTACATGGAGATTGATGATTATAAGATTGCCCTCAAGAATCTTAGAAAGGAGGTGGAAGATACACCAGCAAATGGGATATGAGGATGAAGGGAGGAAGTGGCTGAGGTGGCGGTGGTTGTCTCTGGTTAGTCGAAGCTGCAGCTGGTGGTTGTTTTGGGAATTCAGTCGGGGGAAGAAGATGAAAGGGACAGGCTGGGATTTAGCTTCTTTTACTAAAATACAGCTGTATGAATGTGAGAAATCATAACTTGGGTTTAAAAACAAATCATTTCAAGTATTTGGGTTTATGACTATCGGAAAGTTGGTGACTTTAAAATAAATTCGGATAAATCTTTAGGTTTTAAGGCAAAAGTCCTTATTATTTATCTTGATATTTTTTTTAATGTGAAATTTCATAAACATGCTTTTTCATGCTTGATGCAGTGTGTGCCTGGCTTCACTCGGGCGCACATATCGCATCGCGCATTGCATTTGTGCACGCGAAGAGACTTTGTGCTCTGCATTTTGCATCGTGCATTTATAACACTGCTAGAAACTAGAAAGCTAATTATGCTTTCAATAATTTTTCATACAAAATACTTCAATGCTTCGCTTTAAATAAAAAAAATTATTACATTAGACCAAAAACATATAAATTATAGATTAAGTACCTTAATAATTTTCCCTTTCCAACTTTCTTTCCCTTGGCATCAAGTGCATATCCAACTAATTCTGAATCCAAACAGTAGTGTGGAACCATGATTCTGTTGATAATTTGTGATTATCTGAGTTACGCATTTAGCATATATGTGATTAATTGAAAATTTTACGTGTATTTTGGTCATTGATATTATCTACTTCGAGTCATAAGTTGAGATTCTTGACACCTTTTTATGCGAAAACTCATACTATCCTTCATAGTTGCTTGTCTATATGTGTGTGGTGTGCCGCTCCTCACTTCACTCGAGTGCACGCATCATATTGTGCCTTGCGCAGATGCGCGTGAAGGGACTTTGCTGGCCACGTATACTTGTAAGATGTACACCAGTTTTGGGGAAGAAACAATTCGTGTACCATGAGAGTATGTTGGACATGTTTGGAAGTTCAAAAGTTGCAAGTGTAGTATGTAAAGGTGTTTTGTCTTTTCAGCTTTCTGGCTGCAATGGACAAGGAAGTTGTAGAGACGATAGCTCTTCTCTTGCCCAACTTAAGTCGTCGATTAATGCTATAACTGTCCACTCTGGAGTTTCCTTTGGCTTTGAGCACCTATAAATTGGTTGCTCAATCTATTGAGTATAAGAAGTCAATTTGTATATTCCATTAATGAAAAGTGAGGTGCGTTCCACTTGAGTGTCCTAGTTCATCAAGTGTCATAGGGTGTTTGTTGCAATCCCATCATTTCTGGATAGTCTTTATATTATCATCCCCTAGCTTATTCCACGAACCATCTGTTATATTCCTTCTCATTGGAGGGTTTTCGATGTAGAAACTCCGATGTCTTTATTTAATAATTTTTGCATAACTTTTGGAGCCGATTTTATATCACACTGAGGGAAGAGCTTTCCCGCTTCCGCACATACTAAATAGACATATTTTTTTGTTTCATCTTCTTACAGCATTTCATTTTGCTTCATGCAGCAAACGAGAGCACAAGAAAGCGCCTGATCTTCTACACAATAGTGGAGTACCTTATGCTGGCAGGCGCGAGTGCACTTCAGGTGATGTACATACGGCGTCTGTTCAGCAAGTCGGTGGCATACAACAGAGTATAATCGTGCGCAAGTTGTATCATCCTCAGATATTTATTTTGCCCTTCGTCATATGTATTCCTTTGTTTTCTCCCTAGATTTTATTTTTAAACATAACATATTGTTGGCTCTAATTTCTTGGGAATTTAGTTTGCTTACTTCTGTTCTAGACTTTTGTATGATCTCAGAAGGGCCATTTTTATTTTGTGATGAATTTAAACATATGTTGATTAGGAAAAGTAATGTATGACGTGCTTCATCTAGTTCCTTTGGTACCAGCATAAGGTTATTTGATTTTTGCTGGGGATAGCATCATATATTTATTATTCCTTTTTTCAAATGTTTAAATTATGCAAAGAGTGGTTATATAGGTTACTGCCTCCATTGTAATGAGCCAAAAGTCACAAGTTACAGTGATTTTTTGCTATATTAGATAGTGACCACAACATCTAAGGTTTGCCATTGTCAATGCTACTTCTGAACTGCTTTGTCCTTTTGAGAAATTCTTCTTTCTTCTCAAAGGTTTGGTCTTCAGGACGTATTTTATTAATCTTCCTCTGATAGATTTATCTTAGATGTCGCAATGATGTGTATAGTTCACAAAACTTGATCAGGGGAATGCTACATGAACAAATCATTAGGACTATGTTCTTAATTATTATCATAATTTTGAAGTTTTCGGTGTAGGTGTGAAGTTCACCCCCCCCCCCCCCCCCCCCTCCCTCCCCTCCCTTGCCTTCTATACGGAATCAAGTAATTCCGGTTATATCGTTCTGGCCACTATGTGAAAAAGAGCTTAGCATGTGATGATGATATGTTAAAATATAAGAACTATATTTCATCAATCTTCATTGTAACTTTAAAGTTTTAATGTAGTGATAAGTACTTCAACATTGTAGTAATGACTTATTTCAATGCTTTTGTGATGAGTCTAACCGGGTCTAGAAACAAATACGATTGTACTCATCTTACATCACAATAATTTCTACCATAGGCTATAAAAAAGAAGAAAAGCAAACAATTATGGTTCACAAAGCTGGTCCTTTGAAAAACAGATATACAAAATAAAATAACAATATGAAAAATCTTTGGGAAACATGATACTAACGTGTTACCCTAAAATCTAAATCACATGCGATCCTTGAATCACTCATCATAATTGACAAAAAATATTGTAATTTTGAGGGTTAATGCTGATTCGTTGTACCGGAGTCTACAATCACGACTCCAGAAATTCACGGAAATGTAGAAAAAGTCTCAACATTCAATATTACTTTGGTCAACAGCAAAAATCATTTTTTTTTAACTATTTTACAATATCTACAGAATCGGAGGTCATGTGGCTGACGTGTAGGATAGTCATCGCTCAGAGCTCATCCCCCTCACCATTCGTTGCTTGCCACGTCTCTTTAAAATGCCTGTTTGCTGTTCGGACCAGACAGCTATCCTCTATCCAATGGTACTTTGGATAAGGTTGCTGACAGGCACGGGCACTTTCCTAAAAGGTTAATAAAGCCAACGAACTCAGTTTTTTATCCCGCCAAACATGTAGAATACTGGGCCCCACAAAAAGTGTGCAGCTGTAATAAGACTTGGTTAAAATTAATTGTTTTATTACTGTAATCTTAATCCACATCTTATCGTCTAGATCACCTCACAGTTACGTCTGGCCACGCGTCTTCCAATTCTACCCCTGCTTCTTATCGCACCGTTTCTCCGGTCATAAGAAAACGGGGAACTGAAAAGTGAAAAGGTTGGGTTAATTTGCAAAAAACACCCTATTGTTCGGTAAAAATATACTTCAGCAGTGCCCTCACTTTAAGAGTTTTCTGCTAATTTATCAAAAAGTTTGTGGTTGTGTTCTAAAACTAATGTTGAAAGTTTTGAGACGTTTTCTAAAAAAATAACAAAGGAAATTAGGGGTATATTGGCTAAGAAATAGCCAATGAGAAAATATCACATACTTAATCAAGAGACTAACAGTTCGGACAATCAAACACCACCTTGAACAACATGGTTGCTTGTTCCTTGTCTGGGGTAGTCATCATCCACATGTCCAAAGTATCATGGTCCAAGCCCAACTCGATGCCCCAGACTCAATGACTATGTGATAAATCTCGTCATACATAAGATAATGAAACATTACTAACTCACATGAATGCACGAACATAATCATTAAGATTATTCTTTTAATGCCATCTTCTACCATTCTAACTATCTCGACTAGTGCCTAAGGGACACATGGACAATTTTGTTACAGAGAGCTTCCGTACGGTTCACCTAGCCTACCAGATTATACCACATAGACCTCCCTTTTTCCTTGATCTATTCCTTCAAGTTAGCATAAAAGAGATAATAGTGGTAAGAAAAACCTAAGTATAGTTTCATAGGTTTTGCTAACCATTGCCCTAAGGGCAATAGATAAGGAGAGAAAGAGAGAGAGGAAAGGTGAGTGAAACCCTACCTTTGCCACTCATTCTCTCTCTTCACTCACAACTCTATCTATCTCACTCCTTTTTATCCATTGCCCTAAAGGCAATGGTTAGCAAATCCTATTTTCATTCTCAATTTGATTAAATTTTGATATTCTTACTTGAGTTACTAGCTTAAGTATCGGAGAGTCATATGTCACATCAAGCCTCAGTACCATCTAACAATTTATTCAGTGATTTGCAACGGGACTCTGCCAACAAATTTGTTGACCAGAACAATCAAATGAGTCTCTACAACAACAATCACATCTCTAGCAACTCACTTCATCATCCGTTTTCTCACCCAAAACAATATGAACAAACATTACGCTCCCAAAAGTTTGGGGATTTTAGTAACGCTTTTGAATTGCAAGGGGCTTTTCTCAACATTGGCCGAAAGATGGGGATCATGTGGAAACTTCCCCAAAAATACAGCCCAATCAGGGGTATTTGTGGAAACCTATCCGTCTAAAGGGAGATAATTATTCTATAAATATTACGGCTGTGCCTCTGTAATAAGAGGAGGAACTGGGGGGATAAAAAAAAGAGAAAACTTGAGAAGAGGACAAGAATTGAGATCTAGAGTTTCGAAGCGGAGTGGTAACGAGATCAACGGCTGAAAATGCTGGCTGTGTTCGATGAGACGGT